TTGCTTCTGGGGGGGAATGGGGTGTGTCTTCGGCTCGCCAGGTTAGTGGCCTCCAAAGCTTTGAGGCACCAATACGAAATGGAACCAATACTAACACTCGAATAGCTACCCTCCCTTGAGGAAGGACTACGAGCAAGTCCTGGCCACGACATCGTAGGCTTCGTCGACAACGGTATGAAAGGAGGAGAGGTCTCAGCTGTCATTGATACACTCTCACGACGAATCAGCGCTGCTGGGAAAACGCCAGAGCTATACAACGATACCAGAAGCCTTGCTGTAGTTTGCCGAACCGACAACGAAGGCAACTCACCATGCTACAGCGCCATTGTATTCTTCTCCAGTCCAACCGAGGGAACCGACGAGTCGTCAGCCGGATACTGGAACTACACAATCCAAGGGTTGACCACGCCGTATGGTCCCATGGACATTACGAGCACCAACAACGCCATCGAGGTAGCCACATCCCCTTTGCAGCGCGCGCTCGAGCTCGAGATTATTGCACGGTCACAATCAGCCAACACATCGCAAATTCCTTCCGAACTGAATGTCATCGCGTTCACTCGTCAGGACCAGGGAGCACTAGAAGCCGATCGGACTGCATCGTACCTAAACCTTGTTACATGGGCCTTTCCACCCATCTTCACTCTTACACTCATTGGTGTGGTCGATCATCTAACTTCATCTGTTGCTCGCGAGCGCGAAATTGGTACGTGGCAGCATTTATTCCCAGAACACGGACTGACGTTAGCCAGGAATGTCTAGTTTGATTGACACCATGATAATGGGAGGGTCCAAGTTCCGGGGCATAGCCGTTCGACAAATCGCGGCTTACGCATCGTATGCGCTGGTCTACTTTCCCGGCTGGCTGGCAGTGGCCATCGTCATCTCCGCCGCCATCTTGCCCGTCACTTCTAACTATCTACCCGTGGGATTCGTTCTACTTTACGGGCTCGCAGTGACTGGATTCTCTCTCTTCGGGGCCTCTTTCTTCAAGAAAGCCCAGTTGAGTGGCCCCATCATGGTGGTCGTCACACTAGTCGCCGCCATCCTCCCAGCAGTGCTTTTCAACCAGACGAGTACTGTTTGCGCCATACTGAGCGTCTTGTTCCCTTCAGCAAACTTGACGTACTTTATTACTGGCATGGCAACATTCGAAGCAGCCGGCAAACCGGTCAGCATGATGCATCGGGCCGATGAGGCGAGCGAGTCCGAACATTGGCGTTTTCCGCTGTACATCCACTGGCTCATATTGGTCCTACACGTATTCGTGTTTCCGATCCTAGGTTTACTAGTAGAGCATCTTCTCTTCTCAACAGCGTCTCCACACAGACGTTTCGAACGACCAGCAAGCGCAGGCGATCCGACCGTCAGGGTCTCTGACTTCTGCAAAACATACAAGCCTGGCTTCTTTGCTCGAGTGTTTCGACGTCGTAAGAATGTCGATGCGGTCAAAGGTGTCGATTTCAACGCATATCCCGGACAAATCTTTTGCTTGCTTGGACCTAATGGAAGTGGCAAGTCGACGACGTTGAACTGCATCACGGGCGAACAGAGGGTCACGTCTGGAAACATCATCATCGATCCAACAGGCGGACTGGGTTACGCTCCACAGAGCAATGTCATCTGGCCTGAATTGACGGTTCAAGAACATATCCGCATCTTCAGCGATCTGAAATGCCTATCAGCAGCGAACCACGAGGTCGTCAACGATCTCGCTAAAGGTGTCGATCTTCTCAAGAAGCTTTCAGCTAGAGCTAAGACACTCTCTGGTGGCCAGAAGCGGAAGCTCCAGATGGCGATGATGTTCGCGGGTGGAAGTGCAGTCTGCTGTGTGGATGAAGTCTCCACAGGCCTCGATCCGATTTCCCGGCGAAGAATCTGGGAGATCTTACTCACTGAGCGGCGAAATCGCACCATCATCATGACGACTCACTTCCTCGACGAGGTCGATTACCTTGCTGATGATATTGCCATCATGTATCAAGGTACTCTTCGTGCTGCAGGCACTTCGGCGTCCTTGAAACATGGCTTTGGTGATGGCTATACTGTCAAACTGCCTTACAAGACAGACGTCGATATCAGCATCTCTGGGCAACTCCGAACGGAACAATCGCGGCACATGACGACGTACCATGTCACGACAGCCGCTCATGCTGCAGAGGTTGCGGCCGAGCTCGACAATCACAACCTCGGTGGCTACCAGCTTTCCGGACCGACCATGGAGGAGCTATTCATCAAAATCACCGGTGATGCGATCCAACCTTTGGAGGAGAAGACCGAAGAAGACGACACTGTCAAAGCGAAGACTGAAAACATCATTGTTGACGCAACCGAATTGGACTATGAACTATCCGAAGGGCAGCCCGTTTCTCTTCTCAAGCAGTGGTGGATTCTGTTGCTCAAGAGAGTCAACATCCTCAAACGTCGATGGCTACCTTACTTTGTCGCCGTTGCTTTCGCTCTTGTTGGTGCAGGTATTGCGCCTCTGCTGATCAAGAAGTTCGATGCTCCGCTGGGTTGCCCAGTGCAAGCAGATCTCGTTGACGATAACGCATATCGGAACGACATTGGTGTTTTCTACACAGACAGTAACGCCTATTACTCTGGCACGGATGAGCTTCGAAAGTCGTACATTGCTGGGCCATCTGGTAAACTCAACTTAACGAGGATTGGTTTGATAGCAGACGTTTACTCCACCAGCCACACTTTGAGTTACTCTGACACCTATCGATCCGGTTATACGAATTCTTCACAGCTTGAGAACCAGCTTTTGATCGTCGATACGTACGAGGAATTCGCGCGAGCAGTTCAGAACGACTGGAAAGAACTAGTTGCCCATCCCAGATACATCTCTGATGGTGGTTTTCCCACCACAGAACTCAGAGGCGGGATCTGGATGGGTGATAGCTCAACCAACCCCACTATCATGGGCGACATCAGCGGAGGCGCCGCCATGCAACAGATGCTGAACTTCTACAATGTCATGGCTGGTGGTGTTGGCATCTCGAGTTCTTACAACGAGTTCGCCAGTACTGTCATTCCGAGTCTCATGGCTTCCGATGCTACGATGTTCATCATTTATTATGGACTGATCATAGCCTGGTACGTTTTAACCAGCCGCCCACGTAGCACAACAAAGCTGACATATATAATAGCTATCCAGTATTTTTCGTCTTATACCCGACGGATGAGCGCCTGTCAAACGTCCGCTCGATGCAATACTCCAACGGGATCCGTCCGGTGCCACTTTGGCTTTCCCATCTGGCTTTCGACGGTACCTTCGTCGTCATAATCAGTGCTGTTGCTACAGGTCTTCTCTCCATGTCGACCCCCGTGTGGCACGGACTCGGCCTGGTCTTCGTCATCTTCCTTCTGTATGGCATTGCGTGCGCGCTACTCAGCTACATCTTCTCCATGTTTACAAAGAAGCCGGTCACTGCTTGGTTCTTGATGGCCTTGATGCAGGTCATTGTCTATTTTGCCTACTTCGCTGGCGTGATGGAGATCCAGGCCACCACACCATACGCAAAACTGGAATCCACGATGAACGCCCTGTACTTTGGTCTCGCCATCATATCGCCAGTAGTGAGCTTGGAAAGGACGCTATTTATCGGTCTTCAGCAGCTTGGGTTGAAGTGCAACGGCCACAGCGACGACTCCCTCTATCTGTACGGCGGGCCGATCTTGTTCTTGGTTGTGCAAATTGCTCTCTTGTTTGCGCTTCTCATTTGGTGGGACAGTGGCTTCGCTTTGCCTTCATTGCGCCCCGAGAGGCCGGTCAGCGATGCAGAGGCGACAGACATGTACACGGCTGATCTTCTTACCGAACGAAGACGGCTGGCATCACCTGACATTGACCTCCGGGTCGAGTCTGTGACGAGGTCTTTTGGCAAGAGCCTTGCAGTCGATGATGTCACGTTCGGTGTCAAGACATCGGAGATCTTTGCTCTACTTGGACCCAACGGTGCTGGCAAATCGACCATCATCTCGATGATTCGTGGCGACATTAAACCCTCAACACCAGGATCTGTAATCGACATCGCCGGCAACCCAATCCTGACTAGTCCCCTTGCAGCACGCTCCAGTCTAGGTGTGTGCCCGCAGTTTGACTCTGCCGACGTTCTCACGGTCCGAGAGACGCTGCGCTTCTTTGCCAAGATAAGAGGAGTCAAGGACGTGGAACACAATGTGTCGACCGTGATTGCAGCCTGCGGTCTCAGTGACTGGACTGATCAATTGGCGCAGAAGCTCTCCGGTGGCACCAAGCGCAAACTGTCTCTGGCTGTCGCACTAGTCGGAAACCCCCGTGTCCTGGTCCTCGACGAACCTTCTTCGGCGCTCGACGCAAATGCAAAGCGCGTCATGTGGCGCTGCCTGCAAACCATTGCAAAGCGACGCGCCGTTGTACTCACGACGCACTCAATGGAGGAGGCCGACGCCCTGGCCGACCGCATTGGCATCGTCTCGTCGCGCATGCTCGCTCTTGGCGACCGCGAAGACCTGAAGCAGCGTGCAGGCAGCGAATATCACATTCATCTCGTGTCGCGCTCAGCACCTTGCACCACATTGCAGGAATTGCAGAAGATGGAGGATTGGATTGCTCTTACCTTTCCCTTGGCGAACGTCAGTCGCGAGACGCAGGGCGGTCAGGTCAGATTTGAAATTCCGGCTGAGGGTAATGAGTTTGCGGGCTTGATTAGGACGTTGGAAGGCGCGAAGGACGATCTAAATGTGGAGTTTTATAGCGTGGGTAAGGCAACTCTGGATGAGGTGTTTGAAAAGATTGTTAAGCGGTACGGGGATGTAGCAGAGACTTAGTTATATAGCTTGCCTAATAGATTAGATAGACTAATAGCAACATTTCGGTATCGATACAGGATCTAGGTTGTCAAGGCGCGCTGTGTGTAGTCGCGAACAGCAATTTTAGTGCGAACATACCCAACCTAGGTACGCTATTGGAATAGCTACAGCTCAGAAGAACACAGACCTCTTCGCCATAATCAGTGCCACCCAAGCCTCGTGTCCTCCCCTCCAGCCGCAAACAGCTGCGAGCACTCTGGATTACGCTTTTTCGATGTTTCCAAGCCAAGCTGAGTTGGTGTCCATATCTGATCCAGTTCATCCTCCCTCAACACCTTCGAGAGCGGTGATACTCCTTCTTGCTGCCAGTCTTTCAGGCGCGGCAGCTTCAATCTGTCCCAGATCTCCACTAATGCACTCACTACGTGATCCTGCTGCTTGGACGTATGAGCTGGCGTTGGTGCTATTCTCAACCTTTCCTGTCCTCTGGGCACGCTTGGGGCGTTGATCGGCTGTACGTATATGTTGTACTCGTCAAACAGAATATCTGCAACCCTCTTACAGACTGCCGAGTCTCCAATCAACAGAGGCACTATATGGGATTGATTCGGCAAGACCGGAAGACCGTGCTCGCGTAGCGCCGTCTTGACACTACGAGCGTTGCGCTGAAGCTGCTTACGTGAGTCGTCATGCGAATAGAGATGTTCGACCGCAGCTCTCGCCCCTGCCATAACGGCTGGTGGTTGTGCTGTTGTGAATATGAAGCTCCGGGCTTGCGAGCGAATCATGTCGACGAGAGATGCGGACCCGGCGACGTAACCACCCATGGTGCCGAACGCTTTGCCAAGCGCTCCGCTGACCAGGGTAATTCGATCCATGAGCGTGCTCTGTCCATCTCCTCGAACTCCTTGGTGGATATCGTAATCCAGATGTTCGGCCACGCCCGCCCCACGCGGCCCGTAGAGGCCGACCGCATGGACTTCGTCTAGGAAAGTAATGGCTCCGTATTTCTCAGACAAATCAACAATCTCACGTATAGGAGCAACGGTACCTAATCGAAATTAGAAAGTTGGGCATGTGGACGATGGCTATAGGGCGATTCATTTGCTTACCACACATGGAATACACGGACTCGAACACGACAACCTTTGGTGTTTCCAAAGGTATGGATGCAAGCTTCCTCTCCAGGTCTCTAACATCGTTGTGTCGCCAGACTAGCTTGGCAGCCCTAGACATCTTGATGCCTTCGATTAAGGATGAGTGATTTGATTCATCAGAAAGGAAGACACAGCCGGGGAGATGTGCACCCAAGACTGCCAGTGCAGACTCATTCGCAACGTATCCAGATGTGAAGGATAGCGCTGCTTCTTTCCGATGCAGCTTTGCGAGCGACGTCTCTAGAGCTTCAGCCCATTGGTTGTGCCCGGATATATTTCGTGAACCACCGGAACATGCGCCGTATTTGTCAAGCACAGTGCGCATTGCACGTAAGACAGTGGGATGACCACCCATCCCAAGCTGTACGTCGTTCTCGTCAATAGGTACTCTCATATTGTTGGGTTGGTTACTTACATAGTCGTTCGTGCACCAAACGTCCACACGCTGCTCTTCAACGTCGGAGTGTGCAAAGGGAAACTCCTGGGCCAGACGGTTGATGTTGCGGAATTGGCGATATGAGCCATCTCGATGCTTCTGGTCAATGTTGAATTTGAAGAAGGCTTCATACGGGAAACGCTGGGGCGCCTCCGTTGTAGCCGTCTCGGGCTCGGCCACCGCTACAGCTGCTACTCATGGTTTAGCACCAACTTCAATCAAATATTGGATAGAACTAGGAGAGTTTCACGCACCCGATGCATATGAACGAGCATGCAAAAGCACTCTGGATTTGACACCACACACTAAGAACTGGCTGTGTCCTATAGGACGAGACAAAGTCGCAATTGATCTCATGTCGGCTGGATAGAGGTAATAGAGATGGAACAATGAAGATGTTAAGTCGACCTGTCAATTATATCCCATTTTGAATACATTTTATACTCGTTGAGTTATATTGCTTTGCCCTCAGCACGCAATTCTGACTTGTCACTCCTCTCACGTACGCGGGTCTCAGAACTCACAAACCATGACCAGGGTAACTCCACAGAGTAGACTTCCAACGGCGGTGTCAGTCTGAATATCATCAGCAATAAGACCACTCTCGTTGATGCCTATGATCGTGCGACCTGTATTAAGAGAGCTTACGCTCAAGATCGCGCACAGCATTTGCTACATCCGGATGGCGATGTAGGTCAATGCTTAGCAATAGAGCGGCCCCGACTCCATTTTAGGAAATCTGTTCGGGCGTTTTCCATCCATGTCATTTTCCAAAAACGGTTTCTTCCGCTGCGTTACATCAGGCCAGCTTATTGTACCGTGCCTGTGCGCGTAACGGCCGACGTCGTGTAACCACCCAGCAACACCAAAATCACTACCGCAAAATCTAGGCCGTAGAACCACAAAAGATAGCTATAGAGCGACCACCACGATTCTAGTGCTTATTACTTGACGGAGGTCCTGCTAGAGCTTTGCGCTTCCTATTCTGGGCGATTTGAGGCGCTCTTCTGTTGACCTGGTCTCCAATTCGGGCTACTCGAGCTCATGCGTTTTCCGCTCTGCCTATCCTTCTCCCTCACTACCTTGGCTGCCTCTCTCATTGGAACGTTACCCCAAGGCCTCTGAGGCTCAACGAGAATCAACCCCGCGGGACAGAGCTATCCTAAGGCGCCGCATGGAGTGAAACATTGGAACGCACGGGAAGTTACTTATTTCATCGTCTCATTCGAATTGCAGGATGACAGCAGATATGCCCGGTCCCGATGTAACCCTAACCCCCACACGCTTCTGTATGACATCTTCTAAGCTACGTGAAAAGGTGCAAGATCCGGTCTATGAATGCGGCATTTAATGCAACCATTGACTTTAAACATACTACGCTGTTCAGGTGGCGTGGTGGCATCAATTCCAAGCCGAACGGCGTGGCCGTGACACGCACTCGCCTTCCGTTTGTAATCTGGTTTCTAGCACAAGTAGTCAACCTTTGCCCGACGGTATGAGTCGTCAAAAAGTACGACACGCTTTTGACGCGGCTTCATATCAAGCTTGTTCTCTACGTGCGCTTCAATAGATCCTCAAGCGAAGCTGTGGTTCTGCAGACTTTCGCTGCCCTCATATGTCTACCCTCGATAGGGACAACGAAATACGCCAGGATGCCGAAAGGCACCCTGATACACATACCCAAGATATGGGTACTGGGCTACGCACCACGTCGACGAACAACGAAAACGCCCATTCCCAGCAACAAGCTGATCATGAAACCCGTATGGATGGCGGCGTAGTAGCCTGGCTTCAGGTATTCGGAAGCTGGATTCTCTTCTGGAACACCTGGTAAGTCTCGATCCTAATCTAACCTCCTTTTACAAGAATTGATCTCAAACACTGCTAGGGGCTTGACAAACTCCTACGGAGTATTCCAAACATACTACGTCAACTTTCTACTCCCGACATACAGCGCCTCAGCAATATCCTGGATTGGATCTATTCAGCTCTTTCTCACCATGGTGGTTGGCATACCCGCTGGGTTAATGCTCGATCGTGGACACCTTCGGCTTCTCATCGCACTCGGGACTCTCTTCGAAGTAGGAGGCCTCTTTGCGACAGCACAGTGCTCAAAGTATTGGCAGATCTTTCTGGCGCAAGGCGTCTGTGTAGGTCTAGGTAGTGGTTTGCTTGGCTTGACGAGTGTTGCGGTTATTCCGCTGTACTGGAAACGGAAAAAGATGATTGCAACGGGTATTGCTGCCACAGGAAGTAGTCTTGGTAAGCCGCTGTCGATAATCCTGCTTCAAGGACATGTTCTGACTTGAGACATCGCGGCTCAGCTGGTATACTTTATCCACTCATGATGCGCCGCCTCTTTGTCACAATAGGCTTTCCTTGGGCTGTGCGTGCCCTCGCATTCCTGATCCTCGGATGCATGGCTGTATGCTTCGCGGTCATGCGGCTGAGACCTCGAGCGCCAAGGAAAGGGTCAATACTAAACATTAGAATGCTCAAAGATAAGACCTACACTGCATTTGTGCTTGGTTAGTCACCTTTTCTTATCTCATGAACCCACTCATGCTTGCAAAATCCTTTCGAGAGCGGAAAGAGCTAACCACACTCAGCATTCACACTCATGATGGCCACCGCCTATATCCCCTTCTTCTACATCCAAGACTATGCGCTCAAGCTCTCTCTCGATGCCGAATCAGCCTTCTCCCTCCTCAGCATCATGAACGCTTCCTCGCTTCTTGGTCGTCTAGCGCCTAACTACCTCGCCGACCGCTTCGGTGGCGTGAACATCATGCTGCCCTGCTGTCTTCTCTCATCCTTGGTCATCTTTATCTTCCCACTCGCCGTAGAAAAGTCTAGTCTTATCGCTATTTCGGTCGTTTATGGGTTCATTTCCGGTGGGATGGTCAGTCTACCTGCGCCCATTATTGCGGCGTTGACGAGCGACGTGGGGGAGCTGGGGGCGCGGATGGGAATGGCCTATTCGATTGCGGCGTTTGGGGGGTTGGTTGGCAGTCCGGTTGCGGGGGCAGCAAAGAGAGATGCAACTGTTGATGTTTCAGGTAGAGCGGTTGAGGACGTGCGGAGGGAATTTTGGGGCGTGTGGTTTGTGGGCGGTGGAGGGATGTTATTAGCTACAGCGTTGTTGGTGGTGACGAGGTGGTTGAGGGTATCGCGGTGGTCATGGACACTGCGCATATAGGAAGTATAAAAGATTGAGCTGTGGGGGCCATCTTTGATGTGGCCACAGATATGTCTGTCGATATGAAGCATTTGCTTCCGCGCCTTAAGCTATGCCAGGCTGCTTGTTGAGTCTCGACGCAGTGGATGATCCCAACGGGCCTTGATAGACAAGCATGCATTTGCGCGGTGCAGTCGCCAAGAAGACCCTGACACCTAGGTAACCATAACATCAGCACTACCGCCAAGTCCGGTGAGATATTAGTTAGCACATGGAAGCTGTTTAAGTCACTTTCGCGTTCTATCACTAATGCGCAAGCCGACGTAAGCGTTCTGTCCTCCGCCAATTTCACGCGCGCGACCCCGATGTTCGTTCCGCACCACGGTCTGCCAACCACGCATTGGGGAGCCCGCAATAGTGACTTTATGAAAATGCGCATCATACATTCCTTCACATACGACCATAGGATCATGAAAATTAGGCTTCCCGTCCGCTCAGCCATATACAAGCATGATACCGGCGGATTAGTAGTTAGGTGGGTGACCACTAGCGAATCCCCGCTGTTGTATGTTTTTGGCTACTTTTTGCACCTTCAAAATCCATTAACCGCCCTCGACATCGTGAGAAACCCATACAGATCGCGCGGGAAGATGGCGCGCTTCCCTGTTATGCACTTCTTTTGCTCACAGTCTCGAGATGTATCTAGCTGCGGCTTCATGGAGCGTGTTGATCGCTTGCGCAACCAAAGGACTAAACAACAAAGCCAAGGAGTAAACGTGCGCGTAACAAATGCCACGGCAGCGATGCCGATACACTGAGCTATTGCTGCAAAAGAGATTTAACTGATTAGAGCTTGTCTACACGAACAGGTGCGGTTCGCCCGCCTTGAATCGCCAGTTTGACAGGTAATCCTCATAGATCCCCAGCATCTCCGGCTTCCAACCGAGAGTCTTGTAAGCGCGAACAGCCTTAGATCGCGCACTGGAGCCATAACCAATCTTGCTAATTGGATCGATCTTCATCGCCTCCTCTGCGCTCAGATAGTCTACATCCGGCGTGTCCAGCAGCCCTCTCTCGAAAGCTGCTTTGCTGACAGCTTGCGCGAACTCGCCCCAGACCATCTCGCCGTTTTCGACAAAGTAGTACGAGTTCACTCCTCCCCACATTGCGGTGCCACCGCCCTGTGCGGCTGCTTCCGTAGCCTTGACGAAGAAGTTTGCTAGATCGGTAATGTGCAACGTGTTGACGATGGCCTTGCCGTCACCGACTGCGAAGCCCTTTTTGCGGTCTAGAATGGAGTTTACGTATTGCCGTGCTGCGCTGCGCTCCTGCGTGTCCTGGGCGTGGCTCATGCCGTATATGATCGGTGGGCAGACGATCATGGTTTTGATTTGCGGCGCTTCGCGGTCGAGCACCAGGATCATGGTATCGATGTTCACGTGTGGCGCTTCGGGAGGGAGCGTTAGGAGGTCAGTTACATTGTCCCAGTCGTCGTAGACCTTGGTGGTAGCCTGGCCATAGGTCCCCGTTCTGGCAATTTCACCGGTGAGTATACCGCAGCCTGAGGTATGGATCAGGTAGCAGGTTGATTTGTTCTTCTTCATGCCGTCGATGATGGATTTAGTCAACGGCTCGTGGTCGCTGCTGCCCCAGTTTATGACTATGTCTGCGGCCGCTGCCGAAGAGGAGATAACGTCGTGACTGTCAAAGTCTCCGATCACGAATTGTGTCCCTTGGGGCAGGAAGCGCTTCACACTCTCCTCTCTCGCCTTGTTTCGGAGGAGGACTATCCATTCGTATTCGGGATGCGCAGCTGCAATTGCACGAGCGCTTGCATTGCCAACCCATCCAGTAACCCCGACGCTTTATGATTGACGCAAAGGTCAGCAAGTCTCTTTGGAATAATCTTGACGGAAGGCTTACGCGAATATCTTGACCATGTTGAGAGCTGCTCTACAGACGGACTGGTTTGAGTGGCTGCTCGGTCATTAATGGACCTCCTTAAGTAGCAGGCAATACAAGCTGGCTTACTTCTTACCTCTTGTTCCTACATAGGAACATAATCGCGTCCGGCCAAAGACCGTTGAAATTCGTCCGGAGACGCACGCATGACGCACGTTTGATCTCTAGTCGCTTCCTTCATGCACCCTCAACCGTCGAATCTTAATGCTCATGCACTGATTGTACATCATCACATTGTTGACTTTGGACCTTCCACACTCTCGTCCGGAGACGGACACCGTTGCAATCTGCCCAAACACTGAGCGAATAATGCAGTCGAAGCAATCACTGCATCATTTGTATGTGACTCCTAGAGCTACAAACGCATGCTCATAGCGCGAAGCTGCCTGACCCGTCTCCGCGCATGTGATGCCGCTTACCCGACTGGGCTCGTGGTTACAAATACAATAGAATGATGCGGGTGGGGAGGCTAAGTAGATATGCATTCTCGTCAATCGATCGACCGTGATCAACCAAGGATGATCTTTGTCAGCGGAGTACAATTCGCATCCCATATCGCCTTCGGTACGCGTCCTGCTGCACGCCGGTATGCTACTCCTTCCTCGCGTTCAACCCATAGCACGTTGTAGAAACGGTACTCCCGTCCATCTGGGCCTTCTTCGCCATACAATTCCATCTCTTTCTTGACTTCTGGTCGTTTGTTAGCTCGGCATCGCTTGGGATAGAAGCACGATCGTTGTACTAACCTAGATACTCGGAAGTCTGTGCATTTACCGGACCGCTGCCTACGTGTGCATACATCACGAGCCTATACAGCTTGTCCTCTTCGTCGCCTTCAACACCAATGGAGCTTACAGCTCCTGTAGATACGGCTATGAGCTCAACCGTATCGCCTAGCTTGAGCTTAGACGTCTCCATGTGCCGCAGCGTACCGGCCTTAACCCCTTCCTGGGTTTCAAGACAAATCAGATCGCATGTATCCACTATTGTTGGTCTTTTCGCGAATTGTGGGAGCTCGAATATGGACGGCCACCCATGTGGCCTCCTTTGTTTTGCGCGTCGCGCCGACGTGGGAAAGGAAACATGCACAGCCTGGATGCGTAATGCTAGACAGTCTGTCTGACACGAAAGAAAAGGCCAGGAATCGTGAGGCTGAGAGACGTATTGCTGATTTGCAATCTGCGGGGTGGTGACCAGAGGGGGCGAAGGTGCTCTTTCTTGATTAGCTAAGTAAACAGTCTCCGCAATTGCTTCTCTGGGGCGACAGTCATCGTTGATATGAGTCGCTCGCTTATTTGAGAGCTTGTCGTCTTTGATGTCGATGCACGCTCTATCTAGGGAGAACAATGGGCCATCTGCTGGTACTTCGCAATGCATATCTTCGGGTAGACAGTACCACTGTACGAGCTTTTGCGTTCTCCAGACCGGCATTTCAGAGGCTCGATTGTTGTAACCGAAGTATGAAGATCGTGTCCGGAGATGATACGGGTCAACAGGACAGGTCCAGCCGCACCATGACCATGAAGGCAGATGCGTTTTCGGCGCTATGATACCTGTGTCTTCATCTTCTCTGACTCTGCGACGTGTTCTGCGGAAGGGTTGCCATAAGAGTGCGATGTCCAAATGAACGCGAGGTAAACCATACTGAAATCCGGAAGGAAAGTTAGGTGCGAGGGTTGTCAGAATACCAGAAAAGGCTGGTAAAACATCTTGGGGGTATGTAAACACGCGACTGTTGTAAAGACTGATCATCTCAGTGTATAGGTCGAAGTCAGGGTAACAACTAGATAGCATACGGCTAGCCTTCTCGTAGTGTGGAACTGTAAAGGTAGCACTTCTGGTCCCAGTCATTTCCGGCCTTGGTCCGTCTGGGCTCCAAACATCTTGCTGACATTCCCAAAACATGTAGCGATCGGTAAATACAATAGCTCTTTTGGAGAGCATCTGCTCCTGGAAGGTCCAGCCACGGGTAGCCCACTTGGAACTGTAGAGTTTGTCGTACATATGTTCTACCTCGTCATCTCCTCTAGCTTCAACCCAAGAGCTAGATAGCTGGCCGCGATAAGTCGCCGCTATGATGGTAAAATATGCACCAGAGTATATATCGCCCATATGATCCACTTGCTCTCTTGTACTTTCGTCATCTTGGACGATGCATAAACAGTCGACCCACAAATGAATCTCTTTGAGCCGGCGGACTAACAGTATGGCGTCCTTGACAGCGGTAGGGAGTCGCGACCATATGTGTTTCAGATGACCAGGTTTTTGGAAAGCTGATAGATTGAGCTTCTTCAACAAGATACTGCCAGTTGAACGCTTTTTATCCCTGGCGTTGAAAGATTCTTGTGACCATACGTAGCTCAAGGCAACGTAACGCGGTACAGTATTCCCAGGGACTAAGCACTCCCGGCCGACGTCGATAACCCAATGCGGCAATTGCTGAGGTGACTTGTGCTTGAAAGATGCTGGCATACATCGTGTTCCGTGTTGGGCGTCGCATGAGTTTATCCAATGGGTGATGTATCGAGAGTCGACGTCGCCGGAGCCATTGCTTGGCCTGAGGTCTTCATCGAGTTTGCCACTGCGGAGCAGAAAATTCTGCATCTTGTCGTTGTAAGATCGCCCAGTCCACAAAAGAGGTGTTATGCCGAGCGAGTTCTTAGAATTCGCATCCACTCTGCCAGTACTGAGTAACATCTTGGCAATTTTTATCGACCCGTCCCCAGATCGCGAGACCCACGCTAAAGGCGTAAGTCCACGTGCATCTTTTGCGTCAGGGTCAACTCTTCCGCTAGCAAGCAACAATTCTACGATGCCCTCCACCGCTGTTATGGCCGCAGGTATTACAAAGCCTTCCCCCGTTATCGTAGCGGATAGTGAGATGCCACTTCGACCCATCACTGCGGCAAATAGTGGTGTTCGGCCGTTGACATCTTTCGCATCGGGGTCCACTTTATCGCTGTCTAGCAGTAGCTCGACGACAGCCTCGTAGCCTCGCGAGACAGCTTCCCACAATGGAGTTCGACCTTTGTTGTCGCGTATATTGACATTGACTTCCTCTTTCTCAATCAACAGTTTGACAACCACTTCTGAGCGAGAGTGCACCGCGCTGTGCAGTAGAGAGTAGCCATGTTCTTCTTGTAAATTTGGGTCGACTCCGTGATATTTGAACAGTGCTTTCAACGCTGCAGTATTTCCGCTGCTTATATCTCCTGATAACCGTGTCCATCCTTTGTCATACTCTGGCACCTCAATTTGTAATTGTAACATCGTTCGGTCTTTCGTCTATCGTTCAAAATGTTGAGAAGCGCGCCAAGCTGTCGTAAAACTGGCTTTTTGTATTGTTAGAAGGATTGCAGAGCCATGCGAATAAGTGTCCTGGACATAGAAACGGCGCCGATAGTGTAGTTCGGTCTCTCGTGTTCAGATCTTTGCGATTTAGCGCGCGAATGCTCTCCGTCTGCCACAGGCTTTGCAGTCTTTATACGCGAGACCAGTGCTGACGTGCAGCCAGAGGCCATTCGCACACCGAGTTTTGCCGACACTACCGGTTAAAGAAGGAGATATTGCCGATTCCAGCAATGCTGCCTACCTGAACCAATTCAGCCGCGACTGCGCCACTGCGAGGCTGACAGTGAGCTTAAGGCGGGGTCACAGTCTCCATATGACGGACTACAAATCCTACGCCGTACGAAGGGACTTGGTGTCCTCACTCGACCCATCAGGCTGACCGTTTTCCCAATACTCTTCAACCCTTGTTCTCCTGCTCCTTCTTCGTGTCTCTCCTCTCCCGTCTCTGTCTTTCCTCCCTATCGTCGACTCCCCTCTGTGCATACTCTTCCAGAAAAGGCTTCAGCCCACCCCAAATCCTCTGCTGAAACTCAGAGGGCCGATACTCGACACACAGCCATTCCGTCGCCCTGAGCTGCTCTATCCCACCATACATATCCAGAGCTGCGCGCTCGTAGAGTCTCTTCTTAGACTCATCTGCCTCCGCATATGCTCTCTCGAACTTCTCAACAAAGAGCCTGGTCCAGGTAGGGGGTACGAATCTGACAGTGCCATAGATCTCGCCAGTGCCGATGACGAACTCTGGGTACACGGTTAGCCTAATAAGATCCAGTTCGTCTTCTTCATCATGTTGGTGATAATCTTTATAGCGGAAAGGGAATAGATTGTAGCCATTTTCAAGTATCCAGCATCCGGTTTGATCGACGTCGTCGGCACCGAAGAATATATCTTTCCCGATACCGTTGCTTGCGCGTAGAAACTCTTGGTAGTCATCTGGAAGCTTTCCATTGAGAAGTGCGACACCGTAATCATCACAGTCATCGTCGGCCAAAGGCAAGGAGAGACGTGCTTCGAGGGCGGCAATTTGAGCCTCCGACGCGCCGGGCTTGAGAACCGGGGTAATATCATCTTCACCGTCGTCTTTGCGTCGGGTGAAGATGTTGTCTCCGATCATCTGCACTAGCTCGGCAATCGACTTGGATAGATACGGGCGCGCAGGGCCTACGATAGAACGTTGCTTGAAGAGGGCGCAACCCTCTTTGACGTATGCATCCACGTCTGCCACACGCAGATCAAACATATCCCCCAGTTTCGCAGACGCGAGGATAGCCCAGATGCCTGGACAATGCTCCAAGCCCTGGCGACGCTGGATCCATTCTCTGGCCTCGTCTCCGCTGATGTCAGGATCGTACCAACTGTCCAGCAAGTACTGGTATAGGTCTTTCATGTCGTTCTCGATCAAACTGGTAGCTAGACGCTCTTCGCCTGCAAGCAATGCAACCTGTATCACCGCGCCAAGTGTCATAGTCTCTCCCGGAGGCTGATAAATAGCATCTGGGTTTGCATTTAAGCGTTCGTGCGCGTCGTTCACATCTTCCTTACTTAGGGTCCTTTCTTCTGCTTTCTTTGCTATGTGCCTCGGTAAACCCGTGGTACTAACGATCTCCGCAAGCGCGGCGTCTGGTTTGTCTGCCCATGTTGGGAAATAATCGCTGGCTGACCAAGCCCCCTGCAGCTGCTTCTCGGTGGTGACTCTCATGCGACCGGCATACCTGCTTGTCGTCGTGTCAAGACCGTATTCATGGATTGTGTTGAGAAGTACGTTGGCTTGTTGAGGAAATCCAAGTACGAACAGGTCCAGAGCTGCATGTTGTGCTATTCGTGAGGAAGATGGATGCATACGACAAGTAAGGATGGACGTCTTCGACCAGGGTATGAGAGGCAGGGCGCGTGCCATGATGTCGAAAGCGGCGTCCTAGGCGCTGCTGTGGGAAAAGCTGAAGTGGCATTCTGGACCTGGGTTATATTTTGAAGACCATTTAGGCTGCTAGCCTTAGATGTCACCATGTGCCGATATCGTGGTGTTTTGAGATTAGCTGCCAGGCTGCAAGCAGCATCCGAGGTGCGATGACATCATGCCTGAACTAGCCAAGGCAACACCAGGGAGGCTTTCCAACATGACCGCGACCGTTCCAAGGCGATGCCATGAAGTGATTGAACCTATACTCATGCCATAGTATGTCAACCTTTCCTAAGGCCCTCGATGCGCGACACGTGGATGGACCGTGTCGTCAGGTGACATTCACGGATGCTCGGCCTCGGGGGACTCTGGAAGGTACCCCGAAATGCGCAAGCGAGCCTCGCGCGGTCTAGACGATGCGCGCAGATCCGTAGAACTAATGCCAGGGACGTGTAGGCGACACTACTAGTCGTATGAGTGAGGTCGAAAGGAACGAACATTGTCGCTGCGTCCGCCGTCAGCAAAGCCACTGGATTGTGGCACAGCCGCGCGATTTAATCAACTGCCGCCTGGGCAAACTGTGCCAATGTCGGAGGTTCCGTCGATCCTGCAGAATTGAGGTTTCCGCTCGCGTAGCCATTACAGTTTCTCGTACGGAAAAGCGTCGCCACACATCACATGACGTGCTGAGAAATCAGGGTCAGCTCTGGCTGGCTCCAAAACTTCGGCCCGTGGAGGTGGCGCGGCGGCTCTTGTGGATCTGGTGGGGTCGGTCTTAGGGTCCGATCCACAACTCAACAGCGTTGGATTCGTCCGTTCGCAATGCTTTCATAAACCTTGAACTACTCAATCTTGACCGGTCTTCAATCAAGTGTAATGGCGACCATGCAATCGCTGAAAGACAGTCGCGCGACGACGTCCTGTACTGAGTGTCAACGGAGGAAGCAAAAGGTGACGACACTCCACATTGGCCCTGCATCTACCCCTTGAACTAATGACGCGGCTAGTGCTCGCGAGAATGGCCCTGCAATCACTGTCAGGCGCGAAAAGTACCCCATCTTTGTCAATTCTCTGTCAAAAGAGGGCAGCAGGAGCCTTCTCCAGAGTCGTCTCAGTATGTAGATCCTTCTGCCTACCCCGCCATTAGCGGAACGCGGTAGTAACAGCGATTGCGCAGTGAAAATTCGGCCTCCAGCATCAAAGGCACAAAACGAAGCGCGCCTGACTCTGCAGAGCCGCAGTTTCTGTCACAGGATGGCGAGCAAGAAGAGCTTGAAGATGGGCTGAAAGCGTGGGGGTACATGCCTGGTCATGTGCACTACAAAGTAGGCGGAGTGGAAGAGGTACGACCATTTCTCAAAACATTGATATCAACTAACGCGTTCAAGAACGGCCCACGGAAAGACTCACCGACAGAAAGTTCCGTTACGACGGATGTTCTCGAGAAAGTCCTTTCAGCCGTTCCGCCAAGATCAATAACGGGTAGGCACAAACATCGCGAGATCTTAGCGATCCATTCTCTAACAATGAGCAGATGCGTTCGTCAACCACTTCCTCAATGTCGTCAACTACCGCTACACTGCAATATACGGGCCAACATTAGCCGAACAATATGTCCAATGGTGGGCAGATCGCGGTGCCGGCAAACAGCTTTCTCCAGAATTTACCTGCCTGCTCCTGAGGATCTGCGCGTACTCAGTGCAGTACCTCACACCCGCGCTTCGCAAAATGATCGAGTTTGAGCTGGCTTGCAATTGCCAGACCTTGACGGACCGGTTCTCCGACGCAGCGGAAGAGCTAAGCCGGAGTTTTGGAGCAGCGAGAACGAGCGTTGAACGCGTGCAAGAGTTATTCTTGAAGTGCGTTTGGCTGAAGGCCGAGTCCAAGATCGTAGAGTCGTGGCATGCGCTGTCGCGCACGATCCGGGAAGCGCAAGAGCTGGGCATCGATAAGGATGGAGGTATCGAAGGCTTGTGTGAATTCGACATTGAGATCAGGAGACGTCTCTGGACATTGCTGTACATCTGGGATTGGTAAGTTCAAACCTACGTATTTTAGAAGCATGATCTGACTTTCGTGCAGGCAAATGTCGGCATGGCTCGGCCGTCCAAACCTCATCGACCAAAAGAATCTCGACTTCAAGTTCCCCAATCTACGACTCGACAAGTCGACCACGGAGCCAAACCTACTATCACCCTTCGCACACATCGCCCTTCAAGCAACACTCGGTCGTAGGATCGCCACTACCATGGGGAATGCCCAATCTGAACACGCCCTCTCGGACAAGCAGGTCTTGGCGATAGAAGCGGAATGCGAAAAGTTCATCGATGAGCTACCCCCCATATTCCGCTTCACAGACCCCGACACGTCATTCGATGAGTCTCATCCTTTCTTCGTGTTCCAGCGCTGTCAGCTACATTGCGTCATCTTCGTGACGATGCTGAACTTCTTCAAGCCCTACCTGACCCGAGAACGGCGAGACGCGATAGCCGACCAAGACGACGAGTTCCGGAAGAAAGGCGTAGATATCGCATTGCGTCTTCTCAAAGTAGCGCGCCAGCTCTTCGACCACGAGTTCCCCATCAACGCGAAATTCCACATGGTTGTTTTTGCGATCTTCGACACGGCGACCTTACTCTGCTCGGCTATTATCCACGATCGCGAGCACCTTCTACCTCATCGCGAGGAGATCGTTGATGCAATCGAAAGCTCGCTGGATATGCTGCATCAACTCAGCAGGACAACGAAACTAGGCGCTACGTCGTACAACTTCCTCTTTAAGCTCGTGCAGGCCACACCAGAGCTTTCGCGATACTCATCGGCTAGCAAGCGGCAACGACAGACTTCTTCTTCGGTACCTACGACAACACCGCCGATGCCGACGCACGAGCCTGCCCTGGTAGCGGTGATGTCACCGGTGAAGAGCACAGCGCCACCGGAGCCGACCGCTGCGCCGATAATTTCCACTGCCAGCGAACTCCCGTCGATGACGATCTCGGATGAGCTTTCGTTCGATATCGATCAGTTTCTCGCACAAAATCCCTTTGGCACGGTTGGAGATCCAGCGGCTGTTGATATGGGTGGCATGGAGCAGATTTGGGATTGGCAGGATCTGCATATAGATGTTTATGCGCAAGGAGAGCCGGATGGCTGGAATGCTACCGGCGATGGATCTTGATCATGCTCGGATCGTAATCATGTCAGCGCTGTGTACCCTTTCCATCACTATCTCGAACGCGAAGCCAGGGTTTCTCCAGGGGTGTGAAGAAGGGACCGGATTATCAGATCTGGAATACGTGATCAACGAGTCGGTGGCCTCCAGATCCTGCGTTCGACTGCCGCAGCCGGGTGGTTGGGTTCAATTCGGTAGTAGACGAGTATGCACCCAGCGGTTTTGACCCTCGGAGTTTGACAGCGAGCGATGATGCGTTCGTACGCACTGCAGTCTGCGTCGCGTGCCTGGTTCTCGGGTTACTTTTCTACATTCACACATTTTAGCTCTTTGACGTACATCTAGGCATATAGTAATATCATACCATAGTCTTACTCACGCCGGCGTTCGAAACTACCTCGCCTCCGATGCGACGTCTAAGCCATGTAACTGCGATTGCAAAATCCCTGGGTTTGGCATACAAAATACCGACACGAATCTCCGCAGATTTAGACGTTCAGGAAAGGGCGGACGGTTTTGTTGTTAAGTGTCGCAGGGTGGCTCAACCCCGAAAACCTTCGGAGGCCCTAAGTCGCCGCGAACATCGTCATGTGTGGCGGTGCAGGGAGACAAGCTTTTGTTTAGTTACTTCGTTTTTCTTTGCACGTGTTGAGGGAAAAGCAAGGATGTTATTGCTGCTATACTCACGCAACTCACTGCAAGCCACCATGCTTAACCGATGGTCTCACTTGTCCCTCAACACCATGTCAACAATCGACCATACGTTGTACCCACGCAATCAGAACGGGACTGATGTGCAACTCAGCTTCCTCGCTTTCTTGGCCGAAGACTTGACCTCCAGCTCGCCGGCCTTGCGCTTCTTTGTGGGCCTCCTGACGCGCTTCGGGCGTGGCGGCTCGTCCGTTACCAAGGCACCAGGGGATTCCAGGACTTCCTCCTTCCTTTCTGGCTTGGCTGATAGCCTCAGGATCAAGCGCGGATGTGTGGTACGTCGTTCAGGCGTCGTGGGAGGCATGATCGGAGGGGGCGGTATCCCTCTGCCACCGTGGTCTCGTCCATCCGATGTCGATGTAACAGCCTGACTCTCCGTCACTAGAGGAGTTTCTCTCAGATCGTCCAGTCCGATCTCCGCCGTGGATGTCGAACGCGGTGTGTCAAAATACAAGACCTCCGGTTCTTGCCCTTGAACGCGTACCGCAGCGAAGCTGTTTTGCGTGCGCATCTTCCACTCGCATAATTCCTTCAAGACCTTGGCCTGATTGTCTATCTCGTCACACTGCATCAATGAAACCCGTGCGAGTGCGTTGTGTTTGTGGGCAAGACCTTGGTAGTCCCTACGCAGGATACCGTATGATGAGGAGAGCATGTCGAACTGCCCCTCTAGGTCAAGAAAAGACTGTGCGCTGCTGATCTGTAGGTTGTCGAGTTCTTGTCGGAGGGCGCGAATGCTTGATTTAGGGTCTATCGCAGACATCCGACGGCTTCCGTGGTCTTGGTCATCGTAGACTGTGGGTGGTGTGTTGTAACGGAAACGGACGATGCTACATGATGTCAGCAGGTCACCTACCTGATCTGGACGTTCTCAACAACGTACTCATCCGCGTCATCAGAGGAGTATCGACGGCAACTCTCAGTCGGGGAATATTCACTGTTCGATGGAGATTCGTATCCGATGATGGGGAATTTCTTGTCACCCGTGATGTATGGCTGCCAGTCGCTATCGCTATCGGATGGCTCACACATGGAGGACAAGTCAATGACATCGTGTCGACACACCTCTTGGTCACAGTAGTGATCATTGCGGGCTGCTGGCCATTTGGGTGTAGTTGCGACCGATCGCGACGCTGCAAAACGTTTCCGTTCATCAAGTAGCTTGTAGAAGGCATCCACGGTTTCAGCGCTGTTCTTGCTGACGAGAGGTTCGGCCTCGCACATGTTGGTAGCTGATAGTAACAGATGATAGAAATGATGGTCGTGCTATTGCTGAGTGGTGTTCATGGCACTGTTGATGGAAGATGCTGGTGTATGTCATTCGAAGGAAGGCTGACCCATGATAGAGCGGATCAATGACGAGGGCTACTACCTCGTCCAATTTGAGGCGACGTTCGCCGTTGCCAGTTGGGATCAATACGCACCTCTCCTCGAAGCAGCCTCGACGCAAGGCTGTAGCAGTCGGGGTGAGGATAGATGGAAAGATCGAATCAAACCTTATGTATCTTTGCAAGGCGGATACTAGGAAGATGCCGACAACAGACGTAGAGTGCGCAAACATTCCTCAGTGACATGCATGCCGTGCTGCAGCTTTGCCGGTGGTGTCGCTCGAGAGATGCAGTCGGTGTCAGATTCAGGCGATACATGGTGGGAAGAACCGAACGATTCTTGATCTTGCTGTTGCCAAGTAACGTGGTACGTAGGTTACATCCGGGTAACACTACAGTACCGAGGCGATACGAGGTCAACAGAAAGGCCCTGTATCCTTGAAGCAAGCATGTCGCGTGACATTGCCCATTGTCGTTACGACTTGCTTTGGGGCAGGCCCACCTTCGCGCCTACTCGGCACGTGCTGCCAGGGAAAGTGTTGCATTCGGAGGAGACCGGTGAACTTACTGCAGTGGTTGGCAGGTGTGGAGCCGGGCCAGGGTCCAACAACCTGCCACAGTGAACGGCAGATTTCTCGTTGCAATTCGAGCGTTTCGGTCTCGGTCTTTCCAGTAGATTAGCAGTGGCAGGCCGCGCATTCGGGGCATGTCGATCTCCCATCGATGTTGGGGTCGAAGACATCCCGCGCCTTCTGGGATTGATATCTCTGGGACGTCATGCCTGATCCGGGCATGCAACGAGAACACTCGAGCCACCCCGCTTACTGTCGGTGTGATTAACGTCTGGCGATGATTTGAGGCCGGTCTTCTTAGCCATTTCGCGTGTGCGAAGCCTGCGAAAGTAAACGTAATCGGCACGTCTTTAGTCTAGTCGCGTTTCGGCACGCGGCAAAATTCGTCGGGTCCGCCACAAGCGAACAGCCTCGCGACGCGAGGTCAACATCGTAGTAGCAACGACGATCTGTGCTGGTAGCTGTCAATGTCGACCGATGCACCTGGTCTGTGAGCTGTTGTGTTCATCGAGGGCTCAGCGTGTAAGGTTCTGTCATTGCGCCCATCAGGCGCGCTGCTGCAGGCTCACCCACGCACAAGAAGAGAGACTGCAAAGCTTACCAGACCGATGGTATTAGCTAAGGCCAAGCCTAATAGGATCGAGCGAACCACAGAGGCGACGTGGGATGATCTTTGCAGTGAACGGCAGAGGAACGTGATGGGGTCTGATGCTTGGTCCACCAAGCACTACGTCACCGCGCGCCTTAATGCCGCTACCTTGGCGCACCGTACCAACGACTCCACACCATCTGTCCGTTCCAAAAGATTTTTTGACAGGGGCGGCGCTGGGGAGAGCTGGAGTATATGAGGGGCCATGACCCTCCTCCAGGACCGAGCTCGTGTAACTCTTGTCATCAATTTCCTGCGACCCTGCTGTCGCGGAAGCTTGCCATATCCAATATACAAGCTTTTCCAAGCCTCACAAGCCTTTAGCATCCTGCTTGGGTGAAGACGCCGTGACGGTTCGACACATAAACGACAACGCCACCAGATTACAGCGACACCGACGATTCGACGACCCTGGACAGCACCATCCCAATTGCGACTGCCCCATTATCGCACCCCTCTTTACCATTGCGCCAACCCCAAGCAACAACTCCACACCCATCCTCCATCGCGGCACCACCACCATCATTACGCCAAGATGGTCCGAACTATGTTTGTGAATCCCTTCAAGGCTCATCATGTCGACGAATTTCCCGGCGTCCATGTGCCTCTTGATGACTCGACCCATCGCGCTTCTGTAGCTTCCACCCACCCACGCGCCTCCCTCGCTGCAACAGAGAAAACGACCAAAGACGACAAACCAGAAGATGGCCTCACGCGCCCTGACAGTAATGCATCTAGTGGTGTTGTTAACCATGGCTTGACAGTCGCAGCATTGAAGGCAGAGATTGAAGCAGAGGTCGCTGCTTCGGATAACGACACGCCATATGACCGTACGTCGTGTGGCTTTTCCTATCACCTCCGTTAATTTTCACGGGGAAACAGTACTGATCTTCCACAGGCAAGTCCAAGGTTATCAACAAAGCCTTGCAGGATATGGGCATGGGCCGCTACCAATGGCAGCTTTTCGCTCTTTGCGGTGGCGGTTGGATGGCCGACAACTTGTGGCTGCAGGTGCGCATGTCCAATTCCTCATCAACCAACAGGACTTACCAAGATACAGGGTGTTGCTCTTACACTGCCACAACTCAGCGTTGAGTTCGGTGTCAGCGAGACGGAAGTCAGATACACCACGCTGGCGCTCTTCCTTGGTCTCTGCATCGGCGCTTCCTTCTGGGGAACCGCCTCTGACATTATCGGTCGCCGTCTCGCTTTCAACTTTACTCTTTTCCTCGCTGGTGTCTTTGGTCTTGCATCCGGCGGCGGGCCTAACTGGATCGGCACATGCGCACTCTACGCTTGCATTGGTCTTGGTGTCGGTGGTAACCTCCCAGTTGACGGCGCTTTGTTCCTCGAATTTCTGCCTCAAACATCGGGAAACCTCCTCACTCTCCTTTCCATCTTCTGGCCCGTTGGTAACCTGGTTGCCTCGCTCCGTAAGTCGATAACGTTAGCTGTACTAGTCATTTACTAACGATCCGCAGTGGCATGGGCATTCATTCCCAACTTCTCATGCGCTGACGGTACTCCCCTCGGACAATGCCGCATGGAAGACAACATGGGCTGGCGATACCTCATCCTGACTCTCGGCGCCATCACATTCTTCATGTTCATCTGCCGCTTCTTCCTCTTCCATCTTTACGAGTCACCCAAGTTCCTGTTGTCTCGCGGTCGCCAGGCCGAGGCCGTCGCCACCGTCTACGGTATTGCTCACTACAACAAGACGCACACTTGGCTCACCGAGGACATCCTCAACCAAATCGGCGGCGACCAGGAAGTCACCGGAGAAGATGTCAAGCTCAGCGTCTTCGAGATTGTCAAGCGTTCCCTCAGCCGTTTCTCGATGAAGCGCTTCAGGACTCTCTTCCAGGACAAGAAGATTGGTCTTACCACTGCTCTACTCTGGTTTCAATGGTCGACTATCGGTATGGCCTACCCGCTGTTCAACGCTTTCCTCCCGCAGTACCTCAAGAACTCGGGTGGCGGCGTCGAGAACGACATCAGCATCGTCTACCGCAACTACGCCATCACCGCCATCGTCGGAGTCCCCGGATCCATCCTCGCCTGCTACACCGTCGACCTCAAATACGTCGGCCGCAAGGGCACAATGGCCATTGCCACTGTCATCACCGGTGTCTTCGTCTTCCTCTTCACCATCTCTTCCGACTCTGACTTCCAGCTTGCTTTCACTTGTCTCGAGGCTTTCTTCCAGAACATCATGTACGGTGTCTTGTACGCGTACACACCTGAGGTCTTCCCTGCCCCAATCCGTGGTACTGGTACTGGAATGAGCAGTTTCTTGAACCGCGTTGCTGGTCTTTGCGCACCTATTGTTGCTATTCAGGCGGGTGGAAGTAACCCCAAGGCGCCGATTTACGCCAGTGGTGGATTGTTCATCGCGGCGTTCTTCAGTATGTTGGTGCTGCCTATTGAGACGAGAGGCAAGCAGACTTTGTAGATGGTACGCATTGAGTACCCGACGGCAGGACCGTATAGCGCAGTTGTATGACACGTAGCGCTAAGAATTGACGAAATCGAATTCTATATTGAAGCCACTTCCATGTTTCCATCCGTCCACATACTTCACCCAGATCAGAGCCTCGCCCTCGCCTCCCCCAGCCTCAAACCCCACCCCCTCAACCACCTCTCTACCAACTCCTCCGTAACATCATCAACCTCCGGCAACATCTCCCTCGCATTCTCATTTCGAAAAACCATTGCTTCCCCCTCCCTCCCTTCCCTCCCCTCCATCAAAAACGCATGCATCTTGAACTTCTGCGGGTCCAACATACCCAACCACTGCGGCAAACTACACTCCCTTACCTCCAGTCCGAACCGCTCAACCAATACCATTTGCAGCAGCGCCCAAGGCGCCGGACGGGGGTGCATCATGTTGTATACTTTAACATTGTCTGCAGATGTGATTTGTTGGGATAACGTGACATTGGCGATACCCTCCGCCAGCGTATCCACCGGAATCCAATCTACGGCGTTCATCTTCACGGGCCAGTACTCCAATTTCTGTGCCGTCTTGAATATAACGTATAGCCAACCCTGAATCGGCCACTGCGGCGCATTCGTTATCGCAGATGACACGCCTCCAATCTGACCTGCGCGTACAATAGCCACGCGTAACCCGTGCTCCTTCCCTGCGCGCGCGAGGAGTTGCTCCGCGAGACATTTACTCTGACCATAACCCGTGTTCGCTGCGCTGGCGAAGTCCCAGGCGGGGACTTCGGGGATGAGCGGGGTGGAAGCGTGCTGGGTTGGGTGATTCATTATCGAGGTATTCGACGAAACGAAGGTTACGCGTGGGTTGAGGGGGCTGGCAATACATGCACCGATGACATGTTGAACAGCGTTGAGGAGGGGTAAGTAACCGATGAGAGGCGTCGCCCAATTTGCGTTCCACGCGTTAAAAACGATTTCCGAAACGCTGGTTGTGAAGTGTGTGTATTGGATGGAGTCCAGACCGAGGTGAGGGAGTGTGATGTCGGTTGTTGTGAAGGTGAGGCGGGTGAGGTCCTCGTTGCTGATGTGGGTGAGCGACGAGGTGGTGCGTTGTTCTGCGTCTTTACTGCGGTTTAGGCAGAGGATGGTGGTGCGGGGGTGCTTTTGGAGGAGAGAGGCGGTGATGTAGGGGCCTAGGAAGCCTGTGGAGCCAATGAGGGCGATGGTCTTTTGTTCGGTCATTGCTGTCGGTGAGAGCTGTTACTATCTTTGACTGGGACAAGATTCGTGAGATCTATAATCGGGATGGTGAGAACACTCAGCAGTGGTCCATTGACACTGTTACGCACGCAGGTAAGTGAAGAATGAATTCGGTATGTAATGTGAGGCACAACTTCGTTTGCACCTCATATTTGAAGGCGGTAGTCGGTAAGTGAGGTCACCTCCACGGACATGTTGAACATGCCATGCAACACCCATTGGTGGGTAATCAAGGGGCGTCCTGCATGTAGTGATGTTAAGCCCGATACTTGTTCTCGCCAATGAATTGAACGTGAGATACACACTTGATGTCAAGTCCTCCGCGGATGCGTGCCAATCTCTGACAGAAGCGTAAGGGGCCCAACCACGGTAGTGATGTGCTGCTACATTACATAAAATACACATTGTTTGTACCGATCTGTGTAGAGCGACGTCGCGGAACCACACTGATCACGCGTCCCGTTGTGTTTACAGCCTTGTGCTCTTTGCCCTTCGATCTCAGCTCGCGTAGAGCGTGGCTGAAAGGGTAGGTCACCGTTGAGCGATACACGACAGGGCCTTGTGTGGCGTTGCTCCAACTGCGTGGTGGAGTCCTGTCAGGCGTTGAGTATGGTGTTCCCCCATATCCACGATACGGCCTGTAAGGTCTGGTTCTAGCGCGATAGTAACCAGACCAGGCTGAAGATTTAAAGGCGTAGAGGGTGCGTTGCCATAGGCTAGGAACGAATGAGGAAAGAGTCTATCGTCGACGTTCAGTTCACATCGCAGCATCTGCCGTGATACAACATGCCGGTACCCGATACGTGACGGTTCGCATGCATGGGTAATTGTGGGCGCAAGGGTGACCCAAGGCTGAGGCACGGAAAAGAGAGGTTTGAGATATCCCTTTGGTCTGATGATGTAGCAATGCGGCTCCACAATCGCCACGCGCTGCAAGCCTCGACTCCTTACCTCTCCATACCACATGTTGTGTACACCCACCGCAACGGCTGCCGTTTTGGTCGAATGATGTACTCCGCAGCGGCACAGGGCGACGGTGATGAAAAGCCGTAAGGGGTTGCCGCGCTTGCCATCGCCTTTCTTGAAGAAGCTTGCTCCGAGCTGCCCTAGACCTAGCGACCGTCTGCGCTATCGTAGAGTTTCCCATGCCCACCATGCCGCCCAGCCAGGATATAGACTTCCCGTCCTTGCTGTTCATCCATATTGTTGTCTCGTCTAGCAGCTCGGTGCGGGTGTTCGGTAGATATCGTGCATTGTGCTCTTCGCTGTAGGAATTACAGGAGGCGCCTGTCGCGAAAGGCAGTCTGGCTAGATCCAGCTTGTGGTTATGTCCACGGGTTGAACACAACGACTCGGTCTGGTCAGTGAGAAGCCAGGTCTGCATGGCATATCTGGGTACAGAAAATTTCGCCCGATCGACCTGAAGGACGAGACTAGACGTCGTCCATGATGCGAGGTCTTGAGAGAGGAGAAGCAGACTGGCCGATCGCGCTCCGGACGTCGTGGGCAGACGGAGCAGCCAGGCCGCTGTCAGGCTGGGCGCATAGTACCACCCAACATCATTACAATCGGATCATTCTCAGACGAGCGCGAACAAAAAAATGCTGTCAGACTGAAGGTAATGCTGCAATTAACTATCAGCTACCCAAGGCTCAGAGGGCTGGCACAGCTAAGCGCTGCTGCGTTGCGCGCGACCCGGCGCCCGGACCGCTTCGGAAACACGTTTCGCCGAAGGCCGCTTGTGCGTCATCGAGAGATGAGCGGAACACCATGCCGATGTCATCCTCCCATCGCGTGCATTGGGGTACGTCTGTACGGCAATATTCGTGATTCGCTCGATAAGTTACAGTATCACGGCACCATTGAATCATCTCTCCACAGTAATTCAAAACGCGCATCAGCCACCCGGAACGTTGCTGCCTGAAGAGCGTGGTCGCCCTACATGTGCGTATCCTCGCTGCGACGCGTTTGCTTGGGCACCCCAGCCTCCAGGCTCTAGAAAGCTACTCTGCTGCGACGATGGCATCAGCATTCTCTGGACGTCCTGGTTGAATCCGAACCCACGCACAGGCCTATCGCTGACATTACCTGACCGTAAGGACACATATTCCCCATGATCGCGATGCACTAGCGACCCGATGTGCAGCGTTTTGTTTGGACAAGTCATGAGCAACTTCAGCGCTGGACCAGATCGCTGACAGTGCACCAGGTTTCGAAGCTGATCAACGACATCAAGGATTTCTCGATCCCAACCACGAAGCGGAGTCTCGAAATCGGATATGCCGTCTATGATGCAAATGATCGTCTTTGACTTATCCATGTTCCCCACGATCGATCCGAACAAAGATACCAAAGCTCGCACGTTGTATTGCGACACTGCGTCGTACAGACTCTGCTCCAATGGATCTAGCTCGACGTCCGGTGAGTCAGGATAAAGGAGAAGCTGAGTAATGAGGCTGCGTACAAGCCCAGATGGTCCGCCGATCAGATTCTGTTCAACCCTGGTATGACTGCTGCAAAAGAAGTGCAGGATCATACTGGAGCCTGTCTGGGCGAGCGTGGTTGCCAAGGAAGCACACAGGACGGACAACGGAGATATCTTTCCGATACCATCATCTTTGCAATGCCCATCAACCAGGAGGATTCCGGACAACGGCTGACTTAGCCAATTCTTGAATTGCGCGGTCGTGAGCAGCCACCGCGCCTTGCCGAGACCCTTGGGTCGTAAAGAGTTGCTCTGTCTCAAGATATGCTCCGTCTCGCGGATCAAGTATGCGAGATCCACGCCGAGCATCCACAGAAGCTCTTCCGTCGTCATCAAGATCGTCTGCTGGGTAAGACGTCGCTCCTCCGCGATGACCTCGGTTCCAACAGTTTGCTGGAGAGGCTGCTCTAGAGATGAATGAGTTGGTGACAGGGTTCATACCTGTGGAGTCGACTTACTTGCTTGGCACACCATTTCCGCGACGATCTCATACACAAGAGTCTGCACGGTAGCAGCAAGCTCGTTCTTAGAGACCTTCTGTGACATGTTACCCTCGAACAGCCTTTGAAAGTCTTGCTTGATGTCTTCTTTCAGCTCTTTCATGCTTCGGTTAAGGGTTTTCATTTCCCCATCAATACGCCTAACACAATGCGATACTTCCTGAACTCGATAACGCGTTGTGTGCAACTCGATACTGTTAGCAGAAGCCGTCCTGCTGACATCCTGCAGGGTTTGTGCGTTGAGAATGTCAATTCGACCCGTCACCCTGGCCTTGGCGTTTTGTATCTCATGATCGAGGCCTTCCAACACGACTGTTTCGTGGTCCGGCAGTCGTGTCTTTATACGGCGGATGACTGTTGAAGCTAAGGGTTGACGAGTTTCATCGGACAGGGCAAGACTTACATGATCCATCTTTGCGACACCGAAGCAGCATCTCAGTAAGCAATTTCAGAGAATCAACAATAACGCCGTAGAGATCTCGCGTCTTCTCCTTGAGTTCGTCATCTCGAAATACCTTGTACATCTCGGCCGTCGCTTTGAGAGTGTCGACAACGTCTGACAGTAGCTCGAGTATTTTCTCTCGGTTCTCGATGCGTTGTTCCCAGGCCTGGACAGACGATCAACTAATGTCACATTCCACACATAGGGCAAGGGTACCTGGAAGATGAATGACAGTCCTCCACGTAAGACACCAAGGCCATATTCTTCTGGGATTATGAAGCAAAGAGAGTTGAGTGTGGTGGCATCTGCTTTGCCGTTCCGAATGAAACTTCGGAAGGACCCTTTTGGGGCTTTGGCGTCGTACGCCTCTTTCACCGCGTCGATCCGCTCGAACACATCATTCCATGTACAACTCTCGGTTTTGCATCCAGGGAACACTGCACTGGCCTTCTTCAGAACAGCTTCAAGCTCGCTTTCTAAGCATGAGTTTCCCATTGTTTGAGCGTTAAGGTGCGGCGTTTGGAAACTCACTTGCTCGGTAGAGTCCTCCACTCTCCACGTTGACGGTTGTATTGGGTGGGCACAGAAAATGCAGGATGCAAAGCGCCACCGGTGGTTGTCTTGAACGCTTCGAACGCCTTGATTTCGTCCTCGTCATCCATTACTTCCTTGACGCCCTTTGGAGGCAACAACATACTGGAAAACTTTCTCATTGTCGAGTCTGGTTATTGCGGTGTAAGGGCGTAGATCTCAGAGTTGTCGAAATTCGGTGTTTAGTCCGCTCCTAGCTGGACATCGCACACCTGCAGAGGGTAGCACACCGACTTGCTCAGCCCCACTGCAATGCGCCCCACCAAAGCAGCCTTCGTGCAGCTACTCCAACATCGCTTGTCAGACTTGGGTGAAATGCAGATAGTAGTGCGGCCATAGCATTCGCCATGTCAGCGCCGGATCGGGAGTTTCAAGCCGAAGGCTTAAGGCGAACTGGTGAGACAGATCTTACCGCGCGAGATGGGTGCCGTCAGTCTGCAGCAGAGCCAATGAGAGATATGCTGTTATCGGGTCGGTCTCTAGCTGTTGGGTTGTGTAAGCGCCGGATCTGGAAGGCTCTGACAGAGGTGTGCTTGCCAAAGGCTGACACCGATAAGGCTCAATGCAAGAAAAGCCAGCTGGGGGCCAAGATCCTCGACAAGGCAAACGTCAAGGGCTTCATTCATCGCACAGCTCATCAACTGGTCGGTATCACCGGTTCATTCCCGAAGGTATGTAAGAAAAGCCCCTCTAAGAAACAACGCAGCTATTACACTCGCTTAGCCTAACACACGGCAGCAACTACAGTACCCGGCCTACGGGTATATACCACAACCAATCACCGATTTCCCTCATACCACCTCCGATACACATCGCAACTCGTTCTGGGTGCGCAGCGCCTCCATGCAGCGTCTGATTTATTGGATTAGCCACAGATTCTCGAGGTCTATAGTTGGCTCTTACCAGCCTGCACTTTGACCGGAACTTGCGGGACACTCATCGGGACGATGTGGCCTTCAGGCAG